GCAGTTGCTCCTTGGCATGTGGGATCTTCCCGGACCGGGGATCCAACCAGTGTCCCCTGCACTGTCAGGTGGGTTCTCATCCACTGTTCCACCAGAGAAGTCCCCAGGATACTCTTGAGTAAGAACCATGTGAAAGGGCTTACTCTGCTAGGTAACAAATTTTATAAAAACTGTAACATTAACAAAGGTATAGACAGAAAGTCTACAAGTGACTCAAGCACATTTAAACACTTGTTTTATAATAAATGTACACTAGAGAATAATGCTATCTAGGTTGGTCATAACTTTCCTTCCAAGGAATAAGCGTCTTTTAATTTCTTGGCTGCAATCACCATCTACAGTGATTTTGGAGCCCCCCAAAAATAAAGTCTGACACTGTTTCCACTGTTTCCCCATCTATTTCCCATGAAGTGATGGGACCAGATGCCATGATCATAGTTTCTGAATGTTGAGCTTTAAGCCAACTTTTTCAGTCTCCTCTTTCACTTTCATCAAGAGGCTTTTTAGTTCCTCTTCACTTTCTGCCATAAGGGTGGTGTCATCTGCATATCTGAGGTTATTGATATTTCTCCCGGCAATCTTGATCCCAGCTTGTGCTTCTTCCAGCCCAGCATTTCTCATTACTTTGCCAACAAAGGTCCGTCTAGTCAAGGCTACTGTTTTTTCCAGTGGTCATGTATGAATGTGAGAGCTGGATGGTGAAGAAAGCTGAGCACCAAAGAATTGATGCTTTTGAACTGTGGTGTTGGAGAAGACTCTTGAGAGTCCCTTGGACTGCAAGAAAATCCAACCAGTCCATCCTAAAGGAGATCAGTCCTGGGTGTTCATTGGAAGGACTGATGCTGAAGCTGAAACTCCAATACTTTGGCCACCCCATTGAAGAGTTGACTCATTGGAAAAGACCCTGATGCTGGGAAGGATTGGGGGCAGGAGGAGAAGGGGGAGACAGAGGATGAGATGGCTGGATGGCATCACCGACTCGATGGACATGAGTTTGAGTAAACTCTGGGAGTTGGTGATGGACAGGGAGGCCTGTCGTGCTGCGATTCATGGGGTCGCAAAGAGTCGGACACGACTGAGCGACTGAACTGAGCTGAACTGAGAGTAATGGGAAAATAATAGGGTTTTCAAAAATTCTTGTTGAAACAATTGGGTATTCATATGGAATAAAAACATATTGGCTTGCTTTCTCATAGTATACACAAAGCTCAATTCCAGGTATACTATAGTTCTAAACATGAGAAGCAAAAATATTGTCATAATTTAAGGATTGGGAATGTTTTCTTGGATGAAACATCTAAGGTGTAAACCATAAAGGAAAATGTGATAAATTCAACTGCGCTAAGAAAAAGAACTTCTTTTTATTAAAAGATACTACAAAGAAAATGTAGCATATTAAAAAGCAGAGACATTACTTTGCCAACAAAGGTCTGTATAGTCAAATCTGTGGTTTTTCCAATCTCTCTCTCTCTCTCTCAACTCGCTTCAGTCGTGTCTGACTCTGTGCGACCCCATAGATGGCAGCCCACTAGGCTCCTCTGTCCCTGGGATTCTCCAGGCGAGAATACTGGAGTGGGTTGCCATTTCCTTCTCCAATGCATGAAAGTGAAAAGTGAAAGTGAAGTCGCTCAGTCGTGCCCGACTCTTAGCGACCCCATGGACTGCAGCCTACCAGGCTCCTCCATCCATGGGATTTTCCAGGCAAGAGTACTGGAGTGGGGTGCCATTGCCTTCTCCAGTTTTTCCAATAGTCATGTATGAATGTGAGAGTTAGACCATAAACAAGGCTGAACATCAAAGAATTGATGCTTTTGAACTGTGGTGTTGGAGAAGACTCTTGAGAGTCCCTCAGACTGCAAGGAGATCAAGCCAGTCAACCTTAGAGGAAATCAATCCTGAATATCCATTGAAAGGACTGATGCTGAAGCCGAAGCTCCAATCCTTTGGCCACCTGATGTGAAGAGCTGACTCATTAGAAAAGACCCTGATGCTGGGGAAGACTGAAGGAAGGAGGAGAAGGGGACGACAGAGGATGAGATGGTTCGATGGCATCACCGACTCAGTGGACATGAGTTTGAGCAAACTTTGGGAAATGGTGAAGGACAGGGAAGCCTGGTGTGCTGCAGTCCATGCAGTCGCAAAGAGCTGGACATGACTGAGTGACTGAACAACAGCAAGGAAAATGAAGCCGTAAAGTGAAAGATGACATTTGCAACACATAAAACAGAAAAGATTCATAGTCAAAACATTTTGTTGTTGTTCAGTCACTCAGTCATGTCTGACCCTTTGTGACCCCATGGGCTGCAGCACACCAGGCAAACTTGTCCTTGACTGCCTCTCAGTTTGTTCATATTCATGTCCATTGAATTGGTGATGCTATCTAACCATCTTCCTCTGCCACCCCCTTCTCCTTTTGCCTTCAGTCTTTCCCAGCATCAGGGTCTTTTCTAATGAGTTGGCTCTTCTCATCAGGTGGCCAGCGTATTGGAGTTTCAGCTTCAGCATCCGTCCTTCCAATGAATATTCAGGGTGGATTTCTTTTCAGGTTGACTAGTTTGATCTCCTTCCTGTCCAAGAGACTCTCAAGAGTCTTCTCCAACAGCGAAGTTCAAAAGCATCAGTTCTTCACTGCTCAACCTTCTTTATGTTCCAACTCTCACATCTGTATATGACTACCGGAAAAACCATAGCTCCGACTATACGAATGCTTGCCGGCAAAGTAATGTCTCTGCTTTTAATAATGCTGTCTAGGTTGATCATGGCTTTTCTTCCAAGGAGTAAGCGTCTTTCAATTTCATGGCTGCAGTCACCATCTGCAGCGATTTTGGAGCCCAGGAAAATAAAATTTGTCACTGTTTCCATTGTTTCCCCATCTATTTGCCATGAAGTGATGGATGCCATCATCTTAGTTTTTTGAATGTTGATCTTAGTGTTTTACACTATCTAGGTTTATCATAGCTTTCCTTCCAAGAGGCAACCGTCTTTTAATTTCATGACTGCAGGACATTTAATGAACACTAATATAAACTTTAAAGAGACAGAACTCAATAGAAAAGTGTGCAGAGGACTTGTATGGGACATTTTCCTCCAAAAATAGAAGTCAGAATGGGAATAATCATATGAAAAGAAGTTCAACTTTATGAAAAAGTCAAAATGAGATACCTGTATACCTATACCCATACTAGTTTAAATCTAACAATGCTAGTTTTTGATGAGAATGTAGAATAACAGCAACTGTCACAATGCTGATAATCATGAACTGCTTACAGTCAACCTGGAAAAGAGTTTGGTGTTACCTAAGCATGTTGACTCATCTATTCCACATCTATCTGTCCCTTACAGAAATGCATTGTTGTGTGTAACAGTATGCTTTTACATAAATATTTATTGAAACAGTTTTCATGATGGCCAAAAACTGGCAACAATTTAGTGTCAGTTAAAAGTAAAATGGATAAATAAAATATGATATGCTAATCCAACAGACACAACCAATCACCAATGAATTATTGGTGATTATAAACTATTATACATGCAACAATATGGAGATATAAATAAAAATGTGCTGCTGAACAGAAGATGTCAGATAATTCATTCATAATATATGACTATTTTGAATTTTAAAAACTAAATTGCCTTGCCAAACTAGGTAAATACTAAGTGCTAACAAAAATCTGTAGCAACCAGAACTCTCTCATACTTTGTTGGTGGGAACCACTTGGGAGGAAAACCGTTTAGCAGTATCTATTATATGTGAACATAAAAATAATTCACTACCCAGGGATCCCACTCAGGTATACACCCAACATAAATTCATACAGTATAGTCAGCAAAACACATGCACATCCATCTTAATAGTGGCGTCATTTGTACTAGCCAAAACTTGGGAAACTACAGAAAATCTGTGAACAATAAATAAATTGTGATATATTGACACAGTGGAATATTGTATAGCAGTGAAAATTAATCACCTGCAACTCTACTGAACCGTATGAATGGTTCTCACAAATGTGAATATAGTTTTGAACAAAAGAAACCAGATACCAAGGGTACATGCTTCCTGATTCCATCAAAATAAAGTTTACAACCAGGCCAAACCAATCCATGGAGTCAAAATAATCATTATCTTTAGTGTAGGAGATGGAGACTCTTATGGAAGGAACTTCTAAGATGCTGGTAATTTTCTAAGTCTGAATGGTAGGTACCTGGGTGTCTTCTGTTTATGAAAATATATTAAGCTATACATTTATGTGTGTAAGTCTATGTCTATATTAGTTCAATATAAGTTTTGAAAAGTAAATGCTGTTATTTAAGAATGCATATTTAAAAAAACTATTTAAAAAAGAAAAAAAAAACTACCAAAATCAAGTTAATGATATTCACTGGGGAGGGAGGGAAAGGCAGTAACATAGAAGGAGCAAAAACCAGCGGAGCTGTTTTTGTCTAGGAGCAAAATCTCCTAGAGGTTCTTTCAGTGTTCTAATGTTTTACTTTAGTTACGATTATAAGAATGTTTGCTTTCTTATAATTATAATTATATAATTATAAGTATTATAACTATTATGTTTTTATTACATTTCTGTATGTGTTAAATTTCATAATTGAAAATTAGCCAAAAGCATATAAGCCAAAGATGTGTAGTAACTTGGGTAATGTTTATTAATAAAATATTAAATGAAAAATTGTGGGTTTCTTACAGGATTATACATAAAAATTAAATATACCAAAATATTAAAATCTGAATTATCTTTCTACATTTTTTAATTTTCTCAATATCAATATGTATTACTTGTATATAGGTAAAACATGAACAAGATTTATAAAAGTTGTATTACCTCAGTAAGAAGTTTTTTTAAGCATAAAATCTTTTATCAATTTTTCATGTTTGTCCTATCCTACAAACTTTATCTTTTTCTCTACCATTTTTATCTCTATTTTTAGAACTTGTTATACAGAATCCCCATCTTTTTACTTATTTTATTTTAAATCACTATTTTCTACAGGTGACTGATATAAATGGAGTTGATGTTACTCCCAGACCTCTTTACCGTCCAGATCCATATTCCAGTACAGGAAAGCCAAATAAGCTATTGACTTCACAAGACGGATCACATACATCAGACTTTATAGCTTCCCATAGCCTTTATCAGAATACAATAAATCCTAGTATGTTAGGGCAGTTTACCAGGTAGAGTATACTATTCTGTGTTTCTTTCTGTTTATGTCTTATTACATGTTTTCATTGAGGTCGCACATGTGTAAGTTAGATGTCAGTTGTCCTGTCTGCCAGCTCTGCTCTCTCATCCTAGTGAACCACCTCTTGTGTTCGTCTTATGTTTTAACTAGATGTGGGGCTTACATCTATGCTCCTACCAACACATTTGTGAAAAAAAATATAGATTTTACTCAAGATTTCCTGAGGAACCAAAAAGATGGGACCTAGCATTACAGACAGCCTTCTTTAGTTTTCTTCTGATTCTTTCATGCTGTAATTTAGGGGCTTCCCTTTTTTTCCCTCCCTATTCTTCCATATAAATCCTTATTCTCCTACACTTTGATTTCTGTCTTGTTTTATAACTTTTTTTGGTAAATCATAGGTTTTGCATTTACATATATAGATACTTACATAATTGAAAAATTTTAGAGCTTCCTATAGAGAAGTTCAATCTTTGCAATAATAAAACAGTACTCCTAAAACAATCTGAAGATTATGGGGAAGTACTTTAGTGTGTAACTTTCAATCTGACAAATTAAAAGTTGCAGATGTTAACTAGGCACGAAATTTTAGGAGAAAATATGCTGTCTAGAATCTACCTCCAAATGGGCATAGAGATGCCATGGGAGTTCTGTGCAAAACAAAGGATGTTCCAATAAACAGCCCAACCTTTTGGAGGCCAGTTGAAACTATAAATAGAAAGGAAAAATATGTAATGTCATGGAGTAATGTTAAGTTCCTCTGTTTAAAGGAAATTATTTTTGGATTCTTCAATGTATTGATTTCCCACCAAATATATAAACTCTATTTTAAATTAAATCTTGAGAAGACATTTATCAAATTGAATAAAAGTGCATTTAAGATGGGATTTGAATAATGAGCAGAAACCTGGTGAAAATTAAAGGCAGAGTATTCCAGGCCGAGGCCCTGAGTTAAGAGAGCTCCATAAGGTTGAGGAACTTAAAAAAAAAGAAAAATAGTGATATGATGATAAGATGGAGAATCTCAGTAGATAGGCTGTATTTTAGATTTTTATACTAAACATACCGTTGGGACTCCATTGAAAGACTTTAGACATAGACTTTAGACAAAAGGATTTTAAGACTTTTACTTAAAGAATAGTAATCATCAACTTAATTTTTAAAGAATTACTTTATTTTTATCACTTTTGCTTATATGATTAGTGTATTTGATTTCTCTGTATCTGATAGTTTTAATTTATACATTTAATTGCCCATAAGGACATATGAATAAATAATATTGTTTTTAATTGCTGAAGGTCAGTTTTAGGAAGCAGCACAGTTTCTAAGTCAACTGTATCCACTACTGAATCAATGGCAGAAGACCTAGAAGAACCATCCTTTAAACGGGAAAGATTGTCTAGTTTTACAGGTAATGAGAATCCAATGTTTTATTTAAGTAACAGTTCATTATTTCTTTAGCAAATGTGTTCATTATTTTTTGGGTGCTTGAGACAAGAAGAACTATGGTAATCATTCCCAAATGCTGGCTTGTGCAACAGCTACATGAGAATTATCAGGGTAATGTTTATATATTTTTAAAAATTCTCAAGTGACTCCCTTGCACCAACAGCCTCAGTAATCACAAACCCTGTTTTAAAAAAGCTTAGCTTCTAATTCAGGAGACAAATAATTCTGATATACTGTGATCAATTCCATAGTGAGACATAAGTAGAATGTTGATGGGAACACTTAGAAAAGATTACTATGAGGTGGAAAGTAAAAAGCAGGAGAACATTCATAAAGAACATTATTGACTTTTGAATTGGGTTTTTAAAGATAATTAGTAATTTGTCGGGAGAACAAGTTGGAGAGACTCATTCCAGGTAGAAGATTAAACATGAGGTAATACAAAGGATTATGTGAGTGAAGATCAAAAAGGAAATAGTGGTTGACTAAAGCACTGTAAGAAGTGGCTATTTCCTTGGAACATTTGCATTGGAGTGTGGTGTGGATATCTTTTCCTCTGAGATGACAATGAAGGATTAGTTAAAATATTTATAGGAAAAGTGATTGATGAACTCTTCTTTCTGGTTTTAGCCTATGTAACAGAATGCTTCTGACAAGTAACAGGATACTCAACTACCATTAGCTTAAATGAAGACAGTTTTTCCATATAAAGGAAGTTAAAGGTAGATATACATGGAGCTTATATTACTTCCAGACCTTCAACAGTACGTGAACTGAGAACTTCCACATGTTCAAGCTGGATTTAGAAAAGGTAGAGGAGCCAAAGATCAAATTGCCAACATCCATTGGATCATCAAACAAGCAAGAGAGTTCCAGAAAAACATTTCTGCTTTATTGACTACGCCAAAGCCTTTGACTGTGTGGATCACAATAAACTGTGGGAAATTCCTCAAGAAATGGGAATACCAGACCACCTGACCTGCCTCTTGAAAAATCTGTACGCAGGTCAAGAAGCAACAGTTAGAACCAGACATGGAAAAATGGACAGTTTCAAATTGGGAAAAGAGTATGTCAAGGCTGTATATTGTTACCCTGCTTATTTAACTTGTATACAAAGTACATCATGTGAAATGCTGGGCGGGATGAAGCACAAGGTGGAATCAAGATGGCCAGGAGAAATATCAATAGTAATAGTGAAGCATAGTGAAGTCGCTCAGTTGTGTCCAACTTTTTGCAACCCCATGGACTGTAACCTACCAGGTTCTACTGTCCATGGAATTCTCCAGGCAAGAATACTGGAATGGGTTGCCATTTCCTTCTCCAGGAGATCTTCACGACCCAGGGATTGTACCAGGGTCTTCCGCATTGTAGGCAGATGCTTTACCATCTGAGCCACCAGGGAAGAAAGGGAAGAGGAACCGAAGAGCCTCTTGATAAAAATGAAAGAGGAAATTGAGAAAGCTGGCTTAAAACTCAATATTCAAAAAATGAAGATCACGGCATCTGGTCCCATCACTTCATGGCAAATAGATAGGGAAACAGTGGAAACAGTGACAGGCTTTATTTTTTTGGACTCCAAAATCACTGCAGATGGTGACTGCAGCCATGGAATTAAAAGATGCTTGCTCCTTGGAAGAAAAACTATGACCAACCTAGACAGCATATTAAAAAGCAGAGACATTACTTTGTCAACAAAGGTTCGTCTAGTCAAAGCTATGGTTTTTCCAGTAGTCATGTATGGATGTGAGAATTGGATCATAAAGAAAGCTGACCACAAAAGAATTGATGCATTTGAACTGTGGTGTTGGAGAAGACTCTTGAGAGTCCCTTGGACTGCAAGAAGATCAAACCAGTAAATCCTAAAGGAAATCAGTCCTGAATATTCATTGGAAGGACTGATGCTGAAACTGAAGCTCTGATAGTTTGGCCACCTATGAGAAGAATTTACTCATTGGAAAAGACCCTGATGCTGGGAAAGATTGAAGGCAGGAGGTCAAGGGGATGACAGAGGATGAGATGGTTGGATGGCATCACTGACTCGATGGACGTGAGTTTGAGCAAGTTTTGGGAGTTGGTGATGGCCAGGGAAGCCTGTGTGCTGCAGTCCATGGTGTCTCAAAGAGTCAAACATGACTGAGCAACTGAACTGAACTGAACTGAAAGGTAGATAACTTTTGGCTTTGCTTTTGTGGCATAGGCATATCAGAATCAGAATTGGCAACTCTGCTATTCTTTTTTCAGCCTTTTCTTGTTTCTTGCCACAGGACCTCATAATACCTGTCCCAACTCTGGGCGCCAGTTCCATCTCCCTCATTTATCAGGAAAGTAAATGTTTTCTAGAAGCCTTCCTTTTTCTTGTGTATTTCTGCTTTTATCTCACTGGCCAGAACTGTGTCATACTGCCACCACCAGCTTCAAGAGAGGCTGGAAAAGCCAAATACTTTATTTCTCAGGCAGTATTAATGGAAAGAGGCCTCAGAAGAGAGAAAGGCTTAGCAGTGATAATTATGCTATTAGGAATGTCTGTTGTAGGAAGAAGCCCATCCTCTCAGGATGGGAGAAAGAGAATTAAATTATTGTCATAACCTCCCCCAGCAGTCTCTACATATATTCTTGCCACCTTCCAGTTTTTTCCAAATGATATGCAGAGTTGAAACCACACTCCTTGGTTGGGACTCAAACTCAGCCACACCTCATATTGGGGCTTGAACCTACAATCCCTAACTTGAGAGGGAACTCAAATCCACTGTCTTTTAATTGAAACTGCTCACTTTGTGCCAGGACTTAATGAAGCTCAGATTCTTTTGTCTCCTTGCAGAAAGAATTCAATGTGAGGCAAAGATAGACAAGAGTGACTTCATATAAGCATAGGATTCCTGTGAGAGCTACAAGCAGGCCAACAAGGGAGCACAGCCCTGAGGGGAAAAAAAGGGCTTTTGTTTTTTTAGAGTTAAAGAATAAGTGGGCAGGGGAGAAGATCATCTTCTTCCTCATTTTTGGGTAGACGGCATGGCTTGTATCATTAGTTCTTCCTTTGACCCTATATGTTCTAATGGAGACTGTCATGACACTATTTAAATCAGATCTATATTATTAGAAGGATGGTGACATATGGTGGCTCAGTCAGTAAAGAATCCACCTGCAATGCAGGAGACCTGGGTTCAATTCCTAGGTTAGGAAGTTCCCCTAGAGGAGGAAATGGCACCCCACTGTAGTACTCTTCCCTGGGAAACCCCATGGACAGAGGAGCCTGGTGGGCTGCAGTCCACGGGGTCAAGAGTCAGACACAACTGAGCGACTACACCACCACCACATAGTAATTGGTCTTGGGTTTTGGTATAATGTCTCCTTTCACCTACTTTCTTTCCCTTTTCACCTGTGTTTCTGTCTTGGCTACATGCAGAAATGCTACTTTTCAAGAACCATTAACTCCCTGACTTCATGTATTAATAACAAGATTCAGACCCTATATATATTGTCTTGTGTTTTAACAATCAGAGTTTGTGGCTTGAGTGTGCCTGGTGTTAGATGCCCCTGGTCTGTCTTCAAGGTAGTGTGGATTTTTGCCAGGTTACTAGATTATTTTCTTGAGTGGTCAGTAGTTTACAACAGTCTCCCCAGATTCCCTTAAAATTCCCTTTCTGTCTTTAATCACTTAGAGGGATTTCTAAACCAACTATTTATCCTACTCTATCCCCATTACAATGATATTTTTAAGAACGCAGTCTAACTGCATTGTCACTGCTTAAAACCCTTCAATGAATTTGCATTGCTCTTAAGAAAAAGACAATAATCTTTATGTAACAATTTGCCTTGAGGCCTACCTCTAAGGACTTCTCAGATGGTGCTAGTGGTAAAGAACCCACCTGCCGATGTAAGAGACTTAAGAGATATAGGTTCAATCCCTGGATTGGGAAAATCCCCTGGAGGAGGGCATGACAATCCACTCCAATATGCTTGCCTGGAGAATCCCACGCACAGCTACTACCTCTACTTGTTTCTAACAAAAACAAGCAAAAGTATCAAAACTTCACCTCCAGAAGCCTTGAAGAATAGTATCAATGCTTATATCATCTTGGCTTGCTGGTGAATTCTAACTACAACGTCAAGCCTCTGTAAGTGAGTCACACCCAAACAATTCTACTTCTGGTTTTTCCAGTGGTCATGTATGGATGTGAGAGTTGGACTATAAAGAAAGCTGAGTGCTGAAGAACTGATGCTTTTGAACTATGCTGTTGGAAAAGACTCTTGAGAGTCCCTTGCAAGGAGATCCAACCAGTCCATCCTAAAGGAGATCAGTCCTGGGTGTTCATTGGAAGGACTGATGTTGAAGCTGAAACTCCAATACTTTGGCCACCTGATGTGAAGAGCTGACTCATTTGCAAAGACCCTGATGCTGGGAAAGATTGAGAGCAGGAGGAGAAGGGGATGACAGAGGATGAGATGGTTGGATGGCATCACCGACTCAATGAATATGGGTTTGGGTGGACTCCAGGAGTTGGTGATAGACAGGGAGGCCTGGCGTGCTGTGGTTCGTGGGGTGGCAAAGAGTCAGACATGACTGAGTGACTGAACTGAACTAAACTGATGACCTGGCAACTCATTTAGATTCACATTTCTAAATCTTGAATGCACAGTAACATAATCTATATACCTTTAAAAATTTCCCACACTCATGTCTTACTTGAGGCCAACAATATAGGACTATCTGGCAGAGGGGGTTAGGCATAATCAGTGGTGTGCTGATAAGTATAAAACTAACCTACTCTGAAGTAGAGAAAGTCCTGATTTGTAGTATTTGCCAATTTCTGTGGTATAAATATGTTCACCCCCAACAAATTCAAGCTACCAGCATGAAATTTCTGAGTGGGAAGTTTGCAAGACATGCTTAGAGGAACATTGTTATTTAGTATTTTTACCATACAGATGCAATAAATATAAATAACTACCTATAAGAGTCTA